GACGCGCACGCGTTCATACAATATCAAATTACTTAAAATAAGAATTCCTTAGATAAATAGTACTAAAATGTAAATTGATAGCATGTTGTGATTACCTTTAAGTGATTGTACATTTAGAAATAACGAAACCGTAAATTTTAATTAACGATGTAATAATGTATCGTTGGTAATCGTTGGTAATCCTAATAAAGAGAAAAAAAAGATAATGCTCGTATACATTGCCACTTTGGTAAGGCAATATTATTTTTGTGTGTTTTAATTAAATGCAGAGGAAAAAAGAATAAAAATACACATATTTACATATCACATGAAAAACGTTTAATCTTTTTTCGTATCTAAGTGTTCTTTAAATTAATCATTCCTGTATGGTATTGCTAGACAATTTAACATTCTCAAACCATGAAGAAAGTAAAAAAAAGTTGTTACTTTGCAATTTGTCTGGGTGGCTAGATGTTTTGACCGCGCTGGTGTAATCAGCATTTTTATATTATTTTTTAAAGAATATAGCCAATATATTGTCTGTCATGGTAGTGACGTTGGCAATTTTGATAAAGTGATTTTATACTCTTTTTTTTGTCTACGGTACTAAAAGTTGTATCGTAGTTACAATCGACGCAGAGGTATCGAAACAGACGGAGAAAGTACAGATTTTGTATATAAAAAAAAACAAAAAAACAAATGCCTTATGAAAATGTGCAAGATTATGTTGCTACCATTATATATATATATATATATATATATATATATATATATATATATATATATATATATATATATATATATATATATATATATATATATATATATATATATATATATATGTGGCCGGTGAGGAAGGACCTGGGGAGATCTCCCGCCGGGCAAGGTGTTCTGCCCGGGGAGCGGCCAACACTCCATGTGATAGTTCGAAGATGTTCTATATATACTGTTTCTGATTCGGAATGTTGATAGCGTGATTTAAGCTTCGGTTTATTTCGCTTGTGGCGCGACGACAGCGCCACTACATCACCCCCCTGCTCAGACCGGAGGTCGATAGTGCAGTCTCGTTGTCGACGAATGTGCAAGTGCCAGGAGAGTGCCTTGTAGTCTACGGTGAGTCGAGAAGAAGGCAAGTAATCTGCGAGAGTGCCGTGAAGCAGAGGCGAGCAGTAAGGCTCAGAGCCGTGCCGAACACTGTATGGCGCAGAGAGTAGCTTGAAGGAACAGGAAGCATTATTATTCCAGTGCTGCGATGAACCTTGTGAAGCTAGATGGCTTGCAGGATATGAAGACTGCAGACGATATCTGCTCTGGAGCGAATGGGTGGGGTATTCTATGACGATGATGAAGCTTGAAGTTTCCGAAGGTTGTTTGGTTGCGCGTTCAGATCACGTCGGGGTCACCACTGTGGCCGGTGAGGAAGGACCTGGGGAGATCTCCCGCCGGGCAAGGTGTTCTGCCCGGGGAGCGGCCAACACTCCATGTGATAGTTCGAAGATGTTCTATATATACTGTTTCTGATTCGGAATGTTGATAGCGTGATTTAAGCTTCGGTTTATTTCGCTTGTGGCGCGACGACAGCGCCGCTACATATATATATATATATATATATATATATATATATATATATATATACACTATATACATATATAAGACGTGTAGTGGCGGTTAAGAATATCCACTACCCCATATCTTCCCGTGGGTGTCGTAAAAGGCGACAGAGGGAAACAGGCAGGAAATGGGCAGCAGCATCTTCCTGATAACAGCAACTGTACGACAAAAAAAACTGCGGTTGCCAACCCGCTCGCCAAGCGTGGCAACTATGGCAATATACCCCCCATGAACAATTACACAAATAGACGGCCCCCAGTCCCCGGCGGCCCCGCTATTCCTGGCTACGGTGGCGACCATGGTAACGGCGGGGCAGAGGGTGCTAAGAATCTCCGGTGGAGGGTCGGTTGCCACCTACGACGACTCGACCTGGCAACATTTAACGCACGCACCCTGAGGACTGACGAGAAGATCCTGGAGCTGGAAGAAGAGATAGACAAGTTGCGCTGGAATATTATAGGATTATCCGAGGTCCGAAGAGAGGGGGAGGAAAAGGAATTCTCGAATCCGGTAACTTGTTCTAGCACCGGGAGGGCGACCATCTGTCCCAAGGAGGTGTCGGATTTATCGTCCACAAGTCTCTCGTCAACAACGTTGTAAAGATTGGGAGTGTGTCGACGAGGGTCGCATACCTGATACTCAGAATCACCAAACGGTATTCGCTGAAGGTCATACAGGTTTACGCACCAACCTCGGCACATCCCGATGACGAGGCGGAGGAAATGTATGAGGATATTTCCAAAGCCATGCATTCCTCCAAAACTCACTACACGGTGTTGATGGGAGACTTCAACGCAAAACTAGGCACAAGAGAAAACGGTGAGCTGAAGTTAGGGAAATTTGGAGTAGGTCAACGGAACCGAAGGGGCCAGCAGCTGGCCGACTTTATGGAGAAAGAGGGACTCTTTATGATGAACTCTTTCTTCCAGAAGCGGCCCCACAGGAAGTGGACCCAGTCGAGCCCTGGCGGTTAGACAAAAAATGAGATTGACTTCATTATGACGACCAGACGCCAACTGTTCAGTGATGTCTCAGTGATCGCAAGGGTGAAAACCGGCAGCGATCACCGAATGGTTAGAGCACACTGAACCTAAACGTTAAGTTGGAGAGGTCTCGTCTAATGAAGTCAACGCTCCGTCCCCCTCGTGCTCTAATCCAGAATCCCGAAAACTTTCAGCTCGAGTTACGTAACCGCTTTAAGTGCCTACAAGATTGCAATGCAGTGGACGATATGAATGACAATCTCGTGGAAACTGTCCATGCGGTCGGAGCTAAGTTCTGCAAGACCCGCCGCAGAAGAACACAAAAACTCTCCGATCACACTCTTAATCTCATGGCTGTTAGACGGGAGATGAGGCTGCAATCGTCAACAGATTTGACAGCATACAGGCAACTGAACAGACAGGTCTCCAAATGCATGCGGCGAGACTTACGCAACTTTAATACTGCTCGTATTAAAGAAGCGATCGAGCGGAACCAGGGCTCCAAAGTCTTTGCCAGAGATCTGTCTGCCAGTAAGAGCCAACTGTCAAAGCTGAAGACTGAGTGTGGCAGCATCGTTTCCGGGACACCTGAGATTTTGAGTGAGATTGAGAGGTTCTATGGGCAGCTGTACACATCATCGTTGGAGCCACACGCAGGTGTGACTAACGATCCAAGAGCAAGTCTTATCCGACACTATTCCGATGATATCCCGGACGTCAGTCTAAGCGAGATTAGAATGGCTCTCCAGCACCTTAAAAACGGCAGGGCCCAGGCAAGGATGGAATTACAGCGGAGCTTCTGAAAGCGGGTGGAACACCGGTACTTGAAGTCCTTCAGAAGCTTTTCAGTTCCGTCCTCCATGGTGGCACTACTCCAGAGACCTGGAGCAGAAGTGCGGTAGTCTTGTTCATTAAGAAAGGCGACAACGCTCTCTTGAAGAACTACAGACCGATTTACCTTCTGAGCCGCGTCTACGTGCTGTTTTCGAGAGTCATTACGAATCGTCTCGCACGCAGACTCGACGACTTCTAGCCTCCCGAACAAGCCGGTTTCCGAAAAGGCTTTAGTACCATAGGCCACATACATACCCTTCGGCAAATTGTACAGAAGTCCGAAGAGTACAATCTGCCACTGCCTGGCGTATGTGGACTATGAGAAAGCCTTTGATTCCGTCGAAATTTGGGCGGTGTTACAGTCCCTTCAGCGGTGCCAAGTTGACTGTCGGTATATCGAAGTGCTGAAGTGTTTGTACAGTAGGGCTACGATGGCTATCCGAGTACAGAACCAGAGTTCGAAACCTATCCAACTGCAGAGTGGTGTAAGACAGGGTGACGTTATATCCCCGAAACTCTTCACCGCTGCGTTGGAAGACGTTTTCAAGCTACTGGACTGGAAAGGATACGGTATTAACATCAATGGCGAGTACATCACTCACCTTCGATTTGCCGACGATATAGTCATTATGGCAGAATCGCTGGAGGACCTTAGCACTATGCTCAATGACCTCAATGGTGTCTCCCAACGGATAAGTCTTAAGATGAACATGGACAAAACAAAGATCATGTTTAATGTCCACGTCACACCTATGCCGGTAGTTGTTGGGAGCACTATGCTCGAAGTTGTTGACGAGTACGTTTACCTGGGACAAATAGTCCGACTAGGTAAGTCCAACTTCGACCGAGAGGTCAATCGACGGATTCAACTAGGCTGGGTAGCGTTCGGGAAATTACGACACATCTTCTCGTCTGGTATACCTCAATCTCTGAAAACTAAAGTGTACAACCAGTGCGTGTTGCCAGTGATGACTTACGGATCAGAGACGTGGTCTTTCACTGCTGGCCGTATGAGGGCGCTAAATGTCGCTCAGCGAGCTATGGAGAGGACTATGCTCGGAATTTCCCTGATAGACTCAGAAATGAGGATATCCGCAGTAAAACCAGAGTGACCGACATAGCCCAACGGATTAGTAAGCTGAAGTGGCAATGGGCCGGCCATATAGCTCGAAGAACCGATAACCGATGGGGAAGAAAGTTTCTCGAGTGGCAGCCTCGTACCAGTAGGCGTAGTGTAGGGCGATCCCTCACTAGATGGAGTAACGACCTGGTAGGAAATTCAGGAAGTCGATGGATGCAGGTGGCTCAGGACCGTGCTTTGTGGCGTTACTTGGGGGAGGCCTATGTTCAGCAGTGGACTTATGAAGGGCTGTAATGATGATGATGATTGTATATATAAACATCATAACAACTCGTTATATCCAAAAATTTTATGAGCTTTAAAGCTTGTTATGTCTATCAAAAGATAGATGATAATTTAAAATCCGAGGACTACTATTTACTGGTCCAAGAAAATGAATTTCTTGCTAACTATAGTTTGTAGATATTATAATTATTTACGAATTTCTTAGAATTTGAGAGTATATTTTTTAGGTAAAATTACTAGAGCGCGCTAATATGGAGCACGTGCAGCGCGCAATCGAGCAAGAGCAGGCTGCAACTAGGGCGAATGCTATCCGGGCACAACTTGATATCTACAAGAAACAGGTGAGTCAAGTATAACATGAGAACAGGGATGCTGCAAAGCCTTTGGAAAGTCAGGAATCAAAAATAAGTTAAAAGTTAAACTTAACAAAATAAATAATTTATTACGGTCCAAACAATTACAGGTAATGGATCTCAACGAGAAGCTGGACGCGGAAATTACGAAAGCAGACAAATTAGAGATAGAGAACAAGAAGCTGAGTAGTCGCTCGGCGTCGTTGCAGAGAGAACGTGATGCTCTGCTGCAAGAACGCGACACGCTGCGAGAGACCGTCGACGAACTGCGTTGCTCTACCATTACGGCAGGTATAGAAATAAAAGTATCATTAATAAAATAATGCATCTGCTTACTAAGTAATAGAAATGAATGCATCACTCTTAATGACAATTGGATCGAGTTTGTTAACAACTTCACTGTCTGTCATTTTTGTGCTGCAAGCAAAAAATTATTATTTATGAATTGATTTTTTTTTCAAAAAATCGTATTAAATATGTTGACGCCACCAATTTGATATCATAATTTAATTAATACTAGCCATTCAGGTTTTGGTGAACGAGAACTGTGACAATTTATACGAACTAACACATTCACACTCACACGATACACATATATACACACACACACACATATATATATATATATATATATATATATATATATATATATACAGGGTGTCCCAGAACTCAACGTCAAGCCGAAACAGGGTGACAGGAATGATTGTTATGATCATGAGAAAAATCAGAAAAAAAATCTATCCCATGCAGTTCGGAAATTATGGGCATTTAAGAAAAATCTAGAATTTTGGTGAAACTGTAACCACTTTTCGGTTTTTGTGGTTAATTTTCATTATTTTTGTTCATTTAAACTTTGGAACCGTAACCCTAAATAACATTTCTAGAACAACAGTCAAAAATAATAACACAACTGCCCCAAGTTTTCTAGAATTAAGACTATTTGTTAAACTATGAATTTAAAATTTTTTACATTTCTCGACTTTGAAAGGTCCTCCTTTAAAAAAAATATACTAAAGTGTGTTGGCAAGTGCCATTAAAAGTTTGCGCGTTTAACCAGCATTGTAAAATGGTATAATACTTGTTAGTTTCATACTAAAAAAAAACTAGTTAAAAAATAAAAACATCGAGTAACCCGATTTTTGCTAACCCATTTTACTCAGTTGAAATGTTTTTTATTCACACAAGCTCTTGGTAGGTTCTTAATTTTACGGAAAAATGATGAGAGAGATGGATAATAGACATGATTGCCGTGAGCGACCGAGACAGATAGTGACGCCACGCAATGAGACGGAGATGCGTCTGACACCAGTTAGTACGATTCGCTCATTCGTCTACTGCGCACCTTTCTGTATTCGCTTGTGTTGATTTAGTACTGACAACTTGGCTTCTCTTTTTGGACTTAGATCATTGTGAATTGGACTTGTTGATTACATACCGGGCAACTTTGGCTTCTCTATTTTGGAATTGCACTTTTGGCTTCTCTTTTTGGACTTAGATTATTGTGAATTGGACTTGTTGATTACATACCGGGCAACTTTAGCTTCTCTCTTTTGGAATTGCACTTTTGTGTTGGCATCCTTGTTATCTACCATGCCTACGCGCTACACTTCACAAGAATGTGCCAACATGCACCTCATTTATGGGGAATACAGATGCAACGCAAGTGCCGCCGCTAGACTTTATCGTGAAAGATATCCAACTTTAGAGCGTTCACTTACGGAGGGCGGCCATTTCTCGAATCAAATAAGGGCTGGAGGTAGAGCTCGCTTTCCTTACGAGGAAGAAGTGTTGCAAGAGGTCGCAGATGATCCAAGTATTTCCGTTCGTGGAATTGAAGAAAGAACGGGAATACCCAAAAGCACATCACATCGTATTTTACAAAGAGCCGACATGCATCCGTTTCACGTACAACGCGTTCAAAGTCTTCTTCCTCGAGATTATCCTGAAAGGATTTCATTTTGTAGAACAATGCTACAGAGGCATAACGAAAATCCCCAATTCAACCAAAAATTCTCTGGTCAGATGAATCTACATTTAAAAAAGATGGTTACATAAACTTACACAATTTTCACGAGTGGCATGTGGCGAATCCACATTTAATGCGAGAAGACAGATCCCAGTATCGCTTGGGGCGTTCTCAAAGAAAAAGTTTATTCAAAGCCCATTGACAGGGTAGCCGAGCTGCGTGAACGAATTTCTCAAGCTGCTGAGGACATCAACTCTCGAGGATATGCCCGACTAATAACTAGATCTTTTTTAAGAAGATGTAGGGCGTGTATAGAGGCTGATGGTAAACCATTTGAACACTTATTGAAAGAAAAAAATGTTATTTCCCTATCTGACTTTTATTCCAATAAACCTAAACTAAACTAGGTCAAGATTTTTCATTATTTTGTTAATTTTACTTACTTTTGTTGACTTTTGTAAAATTGGCGTCACTATCTGTCTTGCTCGCTCATGGCAAACATCTCCACTATCCATCTCTCAAATCAATAAAAACATTTGAACTAAGTAAAATGGGTTACCAAAAATCGGGTTACTCGAGGTTTTTATTTTTTAACTAGTTTTTTTTTAGTATGAAACTAACAAGTATTATACCATTTTACAATGCTGGTTAAATGCGCAAACTTTTAATGGCAGTTGCCAACACACTTTAGTATATTTTTTTAAAGGAGGACCTTTCAAAGTCGACAAATGTAAAAAAAATTTAAATTCATAGTTTAACAAATAGTTTTAATTCTAGAAAACTTGGGACAGTTGTGTCATTATTTTTGACTGTTGTTCTAGAAATGTTATTTAGGGTTACGGTTCCAAAGTTTAAATGAACAAAAATAATGAAAATTAACCACAAAAATCGAAAAGTGGTTACAGTTTCACCAAAATTCTAGATTTTTCTTAAATGCCCATAATTTCCGAACTGCATGGGATAGATTTTTTTTCTGATTTTTCTCATGATCGTAACAATCATTCCTGTCACCCTGTTTCGGCTTGACGTTGAGTTCTGGGACACCCTGTATATATACACACACATACACACATACACACACACGCACACACGCGCACACACACACACACACACACACACACACACACACACACACACACACACACAAGCACGCACACAAATGCGAGCGCGCACGCACGCACAAACACGCGCTCATGCTTTTTTTTAAATTCAGAATTAATCTATTTCAGGTAATATGTAAATTGAACATATTGATTGTTGTTTTGCCTTGTTTTTCACTGTAAACTAATGTTAACATTAATTATTTTTATAAGTGTTTTCCCAAATTGTCTTCACAAACACATTTAAAGATGTTTAGTAAAGTAAGAAGACAGTATTATTATTACTTAATAGGATGCTCCCAACCTCTGTTTACAGTTACAAAACACTGTGTTGTGAAATAAAGATTTTTTGATTTTGATTCAGCCTTTGCATGGGTGGTTTCTGGATCTCGAAAACAGCGCCATCTACCGGGTCCAATTGTGAATGCAAACCCACCCTAACACACAAAAACTTTTATCAAAATGAGCCCAGCCGTGCATAAGTGATGATCTTTCATACACATTCTACATACATTCTCTGCTATAATATGCATGTATTATATATACAAACCATCCTCTTAAATCATTCTGTCTATCTATGAAAACCGCATCAAAATCCGTTGCGTAATTTAAATGATCTAAGCGTACAGACAGCGTGAGGCGACTTTGTTTTATTCTGTGCAGAAATTAACAGCTCGTTACATTTAGCGGGCTGTCGGATCAGAGAAGTCCACTAGATATCTGGCAACTTGCACGCTGGTTTCCGCCACCAATTTGGGTATTTGCATCTAGTATGTCATCATCATCATAACATTCTATCTCTCTCGTAGGTGGGCCTCATGGGGGTGGTATTTGTCATAGTTGCCACATTTGGCACTGAACAACTTGGCTACTGTAGTTTTTTTTGTTATTTTGGGTTAAATATTTGGAAGACGCTGCCATTCATCTTGTGTTTGCTTTTCCTCTGTCGCCTCTTCCGACATCCACGGTATATTATGGGGTATTAGATTCAATCACGCCGCAACCTCAAGGTAGCCAACCTTATGCGAGATGGTTTACCGCCATGTATGGAGATCATGTTTTTCCTGACATTTTTAATTGAACTGGGGACGCTAGATTTTTTACCCCGCCTCTAAAACACTTGTTTTTAAAACAAGTACTTTTAGTCTATGTAGGCTAATGTTGAACATAATGCTTATTTAAAAAAAATTACGTTAGCAACATATCAGATCATATCATATAAGAGCCGTGTTAGCTAAGGGGCTAGCGAGGTAGCTAAGCGCTCGCTATAAATTTTACAGTACGCGTGCAATCCGGGTTCGATCCCTGCCGGTACCAATGAAATTGTACATTGCAATTTTAAGTCCTAATTTACCAAGTGCTCGCCGGTGAAGGATAACATCCGTTAGTATTGTGTACACAATACTACTAATATAGCTGCAGCATGGTTCTGCCACGTGAAAATACGTGGTAGAGTTAGATAGAGTAATATATATATATATATATATATATATATATATATATATATATATATATACATATATATATATACACACGATTGAGTAATACGAGTTAGTACACTATAGTGTATTAACTATGATTCCGATGTATCGTGTGTACGATAAGATTAGATTGGAGGGTATTTCATAAAAATTAACGATACCCCTCAATAAGACCGCGCAATAGACCGCCTCTTTACGGCGGCTAATTTATTTATTTACTAAAAACGATTTTATAAAAATGTTGTGTATATTTGCCATGTAATTTCTAATTAAATTAATAAAATGAAACATTTTGTTGTTAATTTATATTCCAGGCGCCAGTGAAGATAACGTGTCCAAGGAACTGATGCCCAATGATTTGAAGGAACGTTTGGTACGGCTCGAACATGAGAATAAGTTATTACGGCAAAATCAAGGAGCACAAGCTGATCAGGCTTCAGTTCAGGTAAAGTAGTATTACATAGTTAATTTTTTGCAATCTTGTTAAGGCATTTCATTTTAGTCTTCGGGGGTGAAAATGCATCTGCATTTTGATTTTTAATTGGGAATGGGTGAAGGTATTTGTAAGCCATTTATTTATTTATTTATTTATTCATAGGACACCAGCAGAGCACACATTATTAAATTTTTATTGTAAAAAGGGCTTAATCTAGAGGCTCATGTGTGCACACTTATAGATGACACAGCATTACAAAATACTGTAAAAATTAGGAAATTTTGAATTGAAAGGGAAGATCTGTGGGAATTCTGATTAATTGATTGTGGGAATTTTGGAAAAAAAGCTAATTGAACACTATTTTAAGAGGCTACTGTACACAATGTTATATGTTTTTCCATTCGGGGAAAGAATGTGGAGATTCTGGGCATTTGACACACGCGAACATGCTACATACAGCTGACCATGAGAGAAGCACGGTTTTTCTAAGTTGACCCCCGCTACCTGTAACGTTTGCCCTTGCGCTTTATTAATGTTACAATAGCTTATATGTTACAAAAAATAATATCTTAAGATAATATATTACTGATGAAAATAATTTATCAGCCGTAAACATTCCACTGATATCAAATTTTGATCACCATCACATCAAAATATTTATTAAAAAAGTTATTTCCTTACTAGGAAACTAATTTTTTTTTTGACAAAAGTGACAAACGAGCACACATTCTAGTAAGTGGTTGCTGTGGCCCATAGACATCTATATTCGTTTTTATCCGTGAGGATTAAGATGGAATGCCCCATTTCCAGTAAAAATGGTCTCCAGTATTGAGTGTAAATTACCATATGAAACACAGTTTTGTTAAGCTGCTATTTTACTCTGGTATTCTGTCGAGCTGACCCATTCGTGCTACAACTACTACTAATATAGCTGCTAAGACTTTCTTATATGATATTTAAAACGTCAATATTTCCTAGTTAGGCTTTTGTGGATTAGATCCTTTTTGCGTAACGACTTCCAATAAGCTTGTAAATGTGAATCGGCTTGTTGTCGCGGGCAGGCGCTGCTGGAGGACTACGCGGCGCGGCTGGAGAAGCAGCGCGCGCTGAACCGCGAGGCCAACCAGCGCATCATGCAGCTGGAGGCCTCGCTCGAGGCGCCGCACCCGCGCCTCGCCTCCGCCATCGAGGACAGCCAGCGGAAATGTGAGTATCCGTGCGGGTAAAGAAAGGCATTAAAAACTGTTAGGTACCGTATATATTACACGGTACCTAAAGTGAAAACAGCATTAATAACCTTAGGTATGTTCCGAAACGTTTTCCGTGTACTGCCGAATACAAATTACGTCATCAATTGACACTTTATTGTACTGGCGTGCCGCCGCCATATTGCGACGGATATCCGGCCATAATAAAACAATTTTTAATTGTGTGTGCGCTGAATGAAGCATGCCAGAATTTGTTTTTATTTATTCAAATACAAAAAATTATAAAATAATTATTGGTATCTCCATTAAGAGGATATAATGATTTTGGAGCGCAAAATGACAAAATAATCGCCAACACTTTCCAATATCCGTCGTCACTTTTCAAATATGAAGTCATATGCTGTCCTATGTTTTGGAACGAATCACCAGTATAGCGTCGATTCATGACGTCGTTTGCATTGGACATTACACTGGGTTCTATTTTGGAACATACCTCTTATATAGTTATGTTAAAAATAACGATTTAATAATTTAATAATAATAATTATTTTATTTTTTGATAAACTGTACAAATTATTCCAATAAGTCTTAACTTAAAACTAGTCTACAATAACAGGCACCTGAACTAGGATAAACCTGTATCTCAGGTGTATGTGCTAAAAGATACATTAACAAATATTTTCTGTTTCTTATATAAAATGAATAACGTACTAACTAATAAGAGTTATTTCATCATCATCATTACAGCCCTTCATAAGTCCACTGCTGAACATAGGCCTCCCCCAAGTAATGCCACAAAGCACGGTCCTGAGCCACCTGCATCCATCGACTTCCTGCATGTCTTACCAGGTCGTCACTCCATCTAGTGGGGGGTCGCCCTACACTATGCCTACCGGTACGAGGCTGTCACTCGAGAATCTTTCTTCCCTATCGGTTATCGGTTCTTCGAGTTATATGGCCAGCCCATTGCCACTTCAGCTTACTAATCCGTTGGGCTATGTCGGTCACTCTGGTTTTACTGCGGATATCCTCATTTCTGAGTCTATCACGCAGAGAAACTCCGAGCATAGCCCTCTCCATAGCTCGCTGAGCGACTTTGAGCGTCCTCATACGGCCAGCAGTGAAGGACCACGTCTCTGATCCGTAAGTCATCACTGGCAACACGCACTGGTTGTACACTTTAGTTTTCAGAGATTGAGGTATACCTGACGAGAAGATGTGTCGTAATTTCCCGAATGCTGCTCAGCCGAGTTGAATCCGTCGATTGACCTCTCGGTCGAAGTTGGACTTACCTAGTCGGACTATTTGTCCCAGGTAAACGTACTCGTCAACAACTTCGAGCATAGTGCTCCCCACAACTACCGGCATAGGTGTGACATGGACATTGAACATAATCTTTGTTTTGTCCATGTTCATCTTAAGACCTATCCGTTGGGAGACACCATTTAGGTCATTGAGCATAGTGCTAAGGTCCTCCAGCGATTCTGCCATAAGGACTATATCGTCGGCAAATCGAAGGTGAGTGATGTACTCGCCATTGATGTTAATACCGTATCCTTTCCAGTCCAGTAGCTTGAAAACGTCTTCCCACGCAGCGGTGAAGAGTTTCGGGGATATAACGTCACCGGATATTAGGGTTATTTGGGTTAAATATATTATCATTAATTTACTTATGATATTAATTAACTTGTTTTGACCAAAGGTTGTGGTTTAGCATCTGATCGGAAAAATAGACTCAAAATGACTTTTTTTGACTGAACCTCGAGCGATCGCAGCGCCTCACTTATGGTGTCCATATTTCTGGACACTATTTTCTACGGTGATCGTTCTCCTGTTCTCTAACCTTCATAGTTACTTTATTTGCGGATAAAGAATCTAATTCAATAACATGCCATTCATATTGTCGAAAAGCATTATATAAGTTAAGAAAAAAGAAAACAAGAACTGAACGGGTATTTTACGTTTCTTACACCGCTACTACTTGACTTTAATTATGAATGATGTTGTCAGCGCTGCAAGTGGAGGAGCTGCAGGGCGCGCTGGCGGAGGAGCGGCGACGCGGCGCCAAGCTGCAGGAGGCGCTGGCGGCGCGCGACGCCGAGCTGCTCGCGCACGAGGACAAGTACAAGAAGTGCGTCGAGAAGGCCAAGGAGGTCATCAAGTCGCTCGACCCCAGGACCATAACCACCGGTTAGTCCCAACCTATTTATCACTTGCTCGACGGCGAAGGAAAACTTCCTAATATTATACAAACTTGCATGTCAGAGTAATTAAAAAAAATTCTAAGATATGTACAACGCTATCCAAATAAGAATAGGAATGGTACCTTGCGCTATATTGTGATTTCTTAGTTGTTAATTTAAACCAGTTATGCAAGGTGAGCAAAACAGATATTTTTGAAAAAATATTTATTTACTAAACAACCATAAACGAAAAAACGAAACCAAAACAAGCATATGCTTTTAGTCACATGAGACAAGGTGGCGTCCTCTTTACTTTCTAGCAAAATGTTGCCAACCATGGAAATAGAAAAAATAACTTTAAATTGTATTTAAAACTAATTGTTTAGACTGTTAAATGAAGTGAAAAAAAAAAACATTTGTAGAAAACGCGGTAGAAGTGACTTTCAAATGAAATGACAATTAGGGTGGATAAACAGAATAATGAGGTCATAGTCATTTCGAACGCTATATGAATCAGAAAAAGCCCTTAATAACTAAGTTAACTTTGGCATGTAATTGGTTTGTTTACACCTATATAATTTTATTACTGTATCATAAAATTTTGGTCCAATAAATTTTTATAGTTTGACTACAATAATTATTTCATCATTTGTATTTTCTTAACTTTTATTTAATATTATTATATTTTTAGTTTCGTATTGACATGTCGTCGCAAGTATTTCAATTGATATCATAGTCAAGTACCCCTCTGTGCAGGGCAGCAGTCGCTGTCGGATATAACGCTGGGCTACTCGCGCGCGGGCGCCAGCAACGCGAGCGCGTCGCGTACCGACGCGCCGAACAACACCCGCCACGAGTGAGTGCCCGCTTTCACTACGAATTGGAATTATCTATGGTGTATTGCTTATTTAGTGTATTGATGGACGTTTAAAAACATATTTTATTCCGAGGCTTGCGACCCGAACACCTTCTACTGGATAATATCTACCGATGTAGTGTGTAAACAACACGTTCGGCAATTTATATTATATCTATTAAGTTCAGGGGGTTATATCCATGCTGTTAAGATATTTGATATAACCATTTTTAATATTTTTCTCAATATCTCGATTGTGATGTAACGGATTCTAAGAGTTAAGAGTTTTGGCGGAGATCGACTGCAACCCCATTACTGTTTGAACTGATCGGTATTAGGGAGCAATGTGTAAAGGTGAAGACATTTGAAACTCCAATCATACATCCGCCTATGAAAATTATTTCTTATCGTTATTTTTCAATGCTTGCATCCATACTATAATATTATAAATGCGAAAGTGTTGTTTGTTTGTCCTTCTTTCACGTCGCAACAGAGCGTCGGCATGGCATAATTTTTTGTATGGGGATAGTTAGGTGGCTGTAGATTGACATAGGTTACTTTTTTCCGCGGAAAAACATCTCATTCCCGTGGGAAAATAATATATGTTGCAAAAGTTTGTCCTTCTTTCACGTCGCAACAGAGCGTCGGCATGGCATGAATTTTGGTATGGGGATAATTCGGTGGCTGTAGAGTGACATAGTTTACTTTTTTCCGCGGAAAAACATCTCATTCCCGTTTCCGTGGGAAATATTCTATTTTCCCACGGGAATAAGAATTTTTTTCCGCAGAAAAAAGTAGCCTATGTCACTCTACAACATCATTTCCGTGGGAAAATAGAATATGTTGCAAAAGTTTGTCCTTCTTTCACGTCGCAACAGAGCGTCGGCATGGCATGAATTTTGGTATGGGGATAGTTCGGTGGCTGTAGAGTGACATAGGCTACTTTTTTCCGCGGAAAAACATCTCATTCCCGTTCCCGTGGGAAATATTCTATTTTCACACGGGATAAGATGTTTTTCCGCAGAAAAAAGTAGCCTATGTCATTATATTTTTTCAGCGGAAAAAATATCATTACCGTGGGAAAATCGAATATGTTGCAAATTTAAATTCAGCTAGGTGGCGCCTCCGTGATTCTACAAGACGGACGACGGTACGATGGACGAACACAGAAGGTCAGAATATCTGGATTATTATGTCTTTTTACCAAAATTAAGATAAAAAATGTATGGATCTGTATTTTTCCACGCAGGACCGGGAAGAGAGCGATAAAAAACATAAAATTCACCAGCTGATTTTCTTCAAACGTTTTGGTGCATTGTAATTCACAGAATAGGCGATAACCTCGCAGACGATATTAAGTAATCCGTTGATGCTCTGCCTACCCCGCAAGGGTTACAGGCGTGATTATAAGTATGGATCAGAAATACTATCACCACCTGTCACGCTTTCACCCTTAACTATTACTTAACTGTGGTAGAAACAGTTCTTAGTAAGCCTTATTAATAAGCCTTAGTAATATTTATTGAACGGAAATGAATACAGTTCTTATATGTGGTTATGAAGGAATCGGTATTACATTAAGAAAAATTGTGCAAAATTATAAGAAAAATATTTTTGGAGAGTTCTTATTAACTAACGTATACATAGTTTAAATTGATTCCGCTAGATGTCGTTACTAGGTTTTTAAAACGCGGTAACGAAATGTTTCCTGATATGTACTTAACTCCCGCCGTTGAGCCGCGCGTCAACTTATAGTGCATACGGTACCTATACGCTTAAATTGTTTCTATTTCGTAGCTTATTCGACTACCTGCTTTCGATTTCGGTTGTTTGTTATTTGTTTTGTGATTTGGTTAAGGTAGAATGGATTTATATTGACTTTCATTTTCGGATTTGTGTATTTTGTTGGTTCGGTTTTGTTGATTTGGTTGGTATTCCTTTACACATATTTAGACTCTGGCTTTGATTTTGGATTTTGTTTATTTAGAATCGTGAATTGGTTTTCGTTGTTTTAGGTTGTTTAACAATATTTTAAAGAAATATTAATAGTATAGATAGTGTATACGGTACCTATACACTTACTTCTTTTTTCGTTGGTTATATTTATATTGACTACTGCTTTCGATTTCGGTTTTCTGCGATTTGTTTTGTGATTTGGTTTAAGTTGATTCGATTTTTTTTGGCTATCGTTTTCGGATTCGTGTTGTGTCTTGAATTGGTTTTGTTGTTTTAATTTTAAAAAATATTTTGGATTTGCTTTTAAAAAAATATTTAAAAGGAAATTTAATTCCTTTTAGGTATTTTAACGTTTTTTTTATTAATAGGTTTTTTGTTACTTCATAATGCCTCGCAAACGTAAGTCCAGCCTTTCAAGAGTATCTTCTCAAAGACAAGCGAAAAGATTAGCTCGTTCGCTAGAATCTTTAAAAGATGCTGAACTGAGAAGGCTAGAACAAGCAGAGCGTCAGGCTGCTTCTAGAGCATCTGAGACACCTTCTCAACGTCAGCAAAGGTGCCTTGAACAGACTGAGCGTCAGGCTGCTTTAAGAGCTTCAGAAACACCTTCTCAAAGTCAGGAAATGCGTCTTGAACAGGCAGAGCGTCAAGCTACTTTAAGAGCTTCTGAAACACCTTCTCAAAGTCAGCAAAGGCGTCTTGAACAGGCAGAGCGTCAAGCTACTTTAAGAGCTACTGAAACACCTGCTCAAAGTCAGCAAAGGCGTCTTGAACAGGCAGAGCATCGAGCTACTTTAAGAGCTACTGAAACACCTGCTCAAAGTCAGCAAAGGCGTCTTGAACAAGCAGAGCGTCAAGCTACTTTAAGAGCTTCTGAAACACCTTCTCAAAGTCAGGAAAGGCGTCTTGAACAGGCAGAGCGTCAAGCTACTTTAAGAGATTCTGAAACACCTTCTCAAAGTCAGCAAAGACGTCTTGAACAGGCAGAGCGTCAAGCTACTTTAAGAGCTACTGAAACACCTGCTCTAAGTCAGCAAAGGCGTCTTGAACAGGCAGAGCGTCAAGCTACTTTAAGAGCTACTGAAACACTTTCTCAAAGTCAGGAAAGGCGTCTTGACCAGGCAGAGCGTCAAGCTACTTTAAGAGCTACTGAAACACCTTCTCAAAGTCAGCAAAGGCGTCTTGAACAGGCAGAGCGTCAAGTTACTTTAAGAGCTTTTGAAACATCTTCTCAAAATCAGCGAAGGCGTCTTGAACAGGCAGAGCGTCAAGCTTCTTTAAGAGCTACTGAAACACCTGCTCAAAGTCAGCAAAGGCGTCTTGAACAGGCAGAGCGTCAAGCTACTTTAAAAGCTTCTGAAACACCTTCTCAAAGTCAGGAAAGGCGTCTTGAAACGGCAGAGCGTCAAGCTACTTTAAGAGCTACTGAAACACCTTCTCAAAGTCAGGAAAGGCGTCTTGAACAGGCAGAGCGGCAAGCTACGTTAAGAGCTTCTGAAACACCTTCTCAAAGTCAGCGAAGGCGTCTTGAACAGGCAGAACGTCAAGCTACTTTAAGAGCTACTGAAACACCTGCTCAAAGTCAGCAAAGGCGTCTTGAACAGGCAGAGCGTCGAGCTACTTTAAGAGCTACTGAAACACCTTCTCAAAGTCAGCAAAGGCGTCTTGAACAGGCAGAGCGTCAAGCTACTTTAAAAGCTTCTGAAACACCTGCTCAAAGTCAGCAAAGGCGTCTTGAACAGGCAGAGCGTCAAGCTACTTTAAGAGCTACTGAAACACCTGCTCAAAGTCAGCAAAGGCGTCTTGAACAGGCGGAGCGTCAAGCTACTTTAAGAGCTACTGAAACACCTTCTCAAAGTCAGGAAAGGCGTCTTGACCAGGCAGAGCGTCAAGCTACTTTAAGAGCTACTGAAATACCTTCTCAAAGTCAGCAAAGGCGTCTTGAACAGGCAGAGCGTCAAGCTACTTTAAGAGCTTTTGAAACACCTGCTCAAAGTCAGCGAAGGCGTCTTGAACAGGCAGAGCGTCAAGCTACTTTAAGAGCTACTGAAACACCTGCTCAAAGTCAGCAAAGGCGTCTTGAACAGGCAGAGCGTCAAGCTACTTTAAGAGCTTCTGAAACACCTTCTCAAAGTCAGGAAAGGCGTCTTGAAACGGCAGAGCGTCAAGCTACTTTAAGAGCTTCTGAAACACCTTCTCAAAGTCAGCAAAGGCGTCTTGAACAGGCAGAGCGTCAAGCTACTTTAAGAGCTTCTGAAACACCTGCTCAAAGTCAGCAAAGGCGTCTTGAACAGGCAGAGCGTCGAGCTACTTTAAGAGCTACTGAAACACCTTCTCAAAGTCAGCAAAGGCGTCTTGAACAGGCAGAACGTCAAGCTACTTTAAGAGCTTCTGAAACACCTGCTCAAAGTCAGCAAAGGCGTCTTGAACAGGCAGAGCGTCGAGCTACTTTAAGAGCTACTGAAACACCTGCTCTAAGTCAGCAAAGGCGTCTTGAACAGGCGGAGCGTCAAGCTACTTTAAGAGCTACTGAAACACCTGCTCAAAGTCAGGAAAGGCGTCTTGACCAGGCAGAGTGTCAAGCTACTTTAAGAGCTACTGAAACACCTTCTCAAAGTCAGCTAACGCGGCTTGAACAGGCAGAGCGTCAAGCTACTTTAAGAGCTTCTGAAACACCTTTTCAAAATCAGCGAAGGCGTCTTGAACAGGCAGAGCGTCAAGCTACTTTAAGAGCTACTGAAACACCTGCTCAAAGTCAGCAAAGGCGTCTTGAACAGGCAGAGCGTCAAGCTACTTTAAGAGCTACTGAAACACCTTCTCAAAGTCAGGAAAGGCGTCTTGAACAGGCAGAGCGTCAAGCTACTTTAAGAGCTTCTGAAACACCTTCTCAAAGTCAGGAAAGGCGTCTTGAACAGGCAGAGCGTCAAGCTACTTTAAGAGCTACTGAAACACCTGCTCAAAGTCAGCAAAGGCGTCTTGAACAGGCAGAGCGTCAAGCTACTTTAAGATCTTCTGAAACACCTTCTCAAAGTCAGCAAAGGCGTCTTGAACAGGCAGAGCGTCGAGCTACTTTAAGAGCTACTGAAACACCTGCTCAAAGTCAGCAAAGGCTATTCGAACAAGCGGAACGTCAGGCCACCTTAAGAGCCGCGGAAACATCTGATGAAACTCAACACAGACTCATTGAGCAAGCTGAACGTCAATCTACTATAAGGGCATGTGAACAGAACAGAACAGACACAGGCGCGAAGAGATGCAAATACACAGCTCCAAGCTGAACGTCGACAAAATTTTCACAGAAACAATTGGTCGTTTTTAATGACGCAGCATTCAATTATGATCCGTTGATTGATTATAAAAATCATAGGTTAATTGTTATCGGACTGATGGTCAAGGCGTGTCGATTTTGCAGCGCTTTAAAATGGAAAGATGAGACCGCAGGCATGTGCTGTTCAAATGGCAAAGTGTCTCTTCCGTTACTTGGGGAACCAGAAGAGCCTTTGAAAACTCACTTTTTATATGATGCTAATGATTCACGGCGCTTTTTAAACAGGATCCGGAAATATAACTCATGCTTTCAAATGACGTCCTTCGGAGTTGACCGGGAAATAATAATGCCGGGATTTTCGCCTACATTTACGGTGCAAGGGCAAATTTATCATAGAATAGGTTCACTTTTTCCAGCTGAAAACGAACAGCATAAATTTTTACAAGTATATTTTATGGGTGACGAAGAAATTGAGGTAGACCGTCGCTGCCAATTTATCCAGGGAGTTGAGAGAGACACAGTGTTCAAAATTCAAAGATTCTTGCATGAACGTAACATTTTAGTCAAAACATTTAAAACTGCTTTAGAAAACCTACCTGAAGAGGATTATAAAGTCGTCATTCACGCAGATCGGACCCCTCGAGGAGAGCATGAAAGGCGATACAATGCACCTTTGATAAACGAAATAGCAGCCGTAATTAGTGGTGATCAATTTTCTTCACGAGACATTGTCTTGCGAGCACGTGATGATACGTTGCAACGGGTAGCCGATACACACAAGTTTTATGACGCTCTGCAATACCCATTGATTTATTGCAAGGGACAAGAGGGTTATCATTTTCAAATTCCACTCATTAACCCGGTCACAAAGGAGCCTACTCCGAACAAAAAAGTATCATGTATGGATTTTTATGCGTATCATATGATGTTGCGAGAAAATGATTTTAACCTCTTAGCCCGGTGTAGACAATTATTTCATCAATTTTTGGTAGACATGTATATGAAGGTAGAAAGTGAACGTCTCCGTTATATATCTTTAAATCAAAAAAAAGCTGCGCGTTGAGAATTATATACATTTACAAGATGCAGTTTCTAGCGACGCCAATGTAAACCCCAGAAATTTAGGTAAAATGGTAATTCTGCCCTCATCATTCGTTAACAGTTCCCGCTACCTACATGAGTACACACAAGACGCATTCGCCTATGTACGAACTTACGGAAGACCTGATCTTTTTGTTACTTTTACTTGCAATCCCACATGGAAAGAAATAACCGAGGAGCTAATGCCGGGCCAAAAAAGTACTGACAGACACGATTTAGTTGCTAGAGTATTTAGATTAAAAGTACAAAAATTAATGTATGTAATTAACAAAGGGAAAATTTTCGGAGAGGTGCAGTGCCTCATGTATTCAATTGAATGGCAAAAAAGAGGATTACCGCATGCCCACATTCTAATATGGCTTAAAGAGAAGTTGCGGCCCAGCCAAATAGACGACATAATAAGCGCCGAGATTCCGGATTCTGAGCAAGATAAAGAATTGTATGATACCATCGTCCGAAATATGATTCACGGTCCATGTAGAGCACAAAATTCAGTATCGCCATGTATGAAAGAAGGAAAATGTACAAAGAAAATCCCTAAACAGCTATTAAAAGAAACAGTGCACAATGACAATGGCTACCCTTTATACAGACGCAGAGCTCCCGAAGATGGTGGCAGGAAAGTTACAATCAAATCTCGCTCTGGAGCGTTCGAAACCTTAGATAACAGCTGGATTGTCCCGTATTCGCCCATTCTATGTAAAATGTTTAATGCCCACATTAATGTAGAAGCATGTAGCTCTGTCCGCGCAATCAAGTATATCTGTAAGTACATAAATAAAGGAAGCGACCAAGCAATATTTAATCTCAGGAGTGAAGGTGAGGCAAATCCCGTTAATGAAGTACAGACCTTTCAAGCAGGGCGTTATGTCAGCAGTAACGAGGCAGCGTGGCGTCTCCTTGGCTTCCCTTTACACGAAAGGCACCCAACAGTTACTCACCTTGTTGTGCACTTAGAAAATGGAGAGCGTGTATATTTCACCGAAAGAAATTTCCAAGAAAGAATTTCATCACCGCCAAAAACTACACTAACAGCTTTCTTTCGGCTTTGTCAAACCGACCCCTTTGCAATAACGTTGTTATATTCTGAAGTCCCCCGCTATTATACTTGGAACACATCTAGGAAGGAGTGGAAAGGCCATATTCAAGGCGCGCCTGTTGCAAATTGGCCCGGTGTAAAGTCATCAGATGCCCTTGGTCGTGTGTATACCGTCCATGTAACTAATTTTGAATGTTTCTGTTTACGATAGCTGATGCACCATGTTCGGGATCCTACAGGATATAAAGACCTTAAAACTGTCAACGGTCAGGAATGCGCAACTTATAGAGAAGCATGTGAAGCTCTGCATCTTTTAGAAAACGATAATCACTGGGATGAAACCAAGGAGGAAGCTGTGCAGTGCCAGTCACCAGCCAAAATTAGGGATCTTTATGCAACTCTCATATCATATTGCGGGCTATCTAATGCACATGAATTGTGGGACAAATATAAAGAGTACATGGCGGAAGATATTTGCGAAGGTTACAGCAGACACACGCGAACATGACATACAATGAACACAATTATAATGAAGCACTTGGAAAAATTGAAGATAAAGTAATGACAATGGTAGGCAAAAAATTAATTTTTAAGCGACTTTGGAATGATAAGCCCTCAGCGAACAACCGAAAATGAACTAAGTGTTGAAATTATACGTGAAACAAACTACGATATACCAGCTTTGCAGCAGCAAGTAGCCGAATTTGTACCCCGCTTGCTTCCCGAACAAAAACGACTTTTTGACAAAGTATTAGGACAAATTGAATCTGGAAATGGTGCACTTTTCTTTTTAGATGCCCCTGGAGGAACTGGGAAGACATTTTTGTTAAATTTATTATTAGCGCAAGTACGGAAATATAAAAACTGGCCGTAGCTTCCTCCGGTATAGCCGTACGCTGCTAAGCGGGGGCCGCACTGCACATTCTGTTTTAAAACTCCCTCTAAATCTAGCCCAGGAGGAATCGCCGATCTGCAACTTTACAAGCAAAAATAGTGCACGAGGTATAATGCTACGACAATGCAAACTTTTAGTGTGGGACGAAAGTACAATGTCGCATAAAAAAGCTGTAGAAGCACTAAATCGAACGCTCCAGGATTTGCGCGCAATACCGATGTAATGGGAGGAATGGTGGTTTTACTGGATGGTGACTTTCGCCAAACTTTACCTGTGTATGAAATTAAAGCATGCCTCAAGTCGTCTATTTTATGGAACAAGGTGACAAAATTCAGTTTAACTACGAATATGAGAGTGCATTTGTATAATGATATCAATGCTGGAAACTATGCTGACACACTATTAAAAATTGGCGATGGGCGGTTGGAAACGGATGCTGAGGGCTGCGTTAAATTGACGAGAGATTTTTGTAATTTAGTACAGAGTCATTCCGAATTAATCGCGAGCGTTTATTCAGATTTAACGAACAACATGCATGAAGACAAATGGTTATGTGAAAGGGCGATTCTTGCACCAAAAAATAAGAGCGTTAACAAAATAAATTCAGATATATTAAGCGAAGTAGCAGGAGAAATAACGGAGTATTTGTCAGTAGACACAGTTATGGACACAGAACATAGCACTTCATATCCCGTAGAGTTTCTAAATTCTCTAAGATTTGTCAGGTGTGCCCTCACATAAGCTTCAATTAAAATTAGGCGTCCCAGTCATGCTAACGCGAAATTTAGATGCTCCTCGGTTATGTAACGGGACAAGGCTGCGTGTGACACATCTTGGACGGAACATAATCGTTGCTACAATTTTGACAGGCGTAGGAAAAGGTGAAAATGTTATTATACCACGGATCCCTATAATTCCTACAGATCTTCCTTTTCAATTCAAAAGGTTGCAGTTCCCTATTAACTCAGTTTTGCAATGACAATTAATAAAGCGCAAGGGCAAACGTTACAGGTAGCGGGGGTCAACTTAGAAAAACCGTGCTTATCTCATGGTCAGCTGTATGTAGCATGTTCGCGTGTGTCAAATGCCCAGAATCTCCACATTCTTTCCCCGAATGGAAAAACATATAACATTGTGTACAGTAGCGTCTTAAAATAGTGTTCAGTTAGTTTTTTTTCCAAAATTCCCACAATCAATTAATCAGAATTCCCAAAATTTCAAAATTTCCTATTTAGCTCAGTTTCTTTTCAATTCCAAATGCTGCACCTCTGACGGACCTATTAAGCTCAGTTTCCTTTCAACTCAAAAGTCTGCATCCCTGACGTATAATTATGCTCAGTTTCCTTTAATTAAAAAAATATCCCATTTCCATTTGGAATAAACAGGCTATTTTCATGCTTTCCTATACGCTGCGTTTCAAAACATTTAAATAGGCTGACGAATCAATTTTGCTCAGTTTCCTTTTAATTGCTGCATCTCTGACAAATCTATAAAACTCAGTTTTCTTTCAATTCAAAAAGCAATGGATAGTTCATTTCTCAGTGACCATGCGGGCGAAGCCGCGGGTAACAGCTAGTACTATCTAAAATTAAGTTGCTTCTGAAACTTTGCTAATGCGATTTCGACTTCGGTAATCTGGTAATTACTACAGTATTTGATTACTGACATTAGATTTTGATTTTTAATTTGAGGATTGATTTTTAGCTGGAGTGGAAGCGGAAGCGGCAGCGAGGACGCGCGTTCCAGCAGCAACGAGCAGCGGCTGCTGGCGTCCGCGTGGTACCAGCTCAGCATGCGCTGCCACCGCGAGGCCGTCGAGCAGCGGTTCGCGCTCCTGGCGGGCGGCCATTCGTTCCTCGCGCGGCAGCGGCGCCAGCAGCCACGCACGCGAGCGCCCGCCGCCGCCTCCACGCCCGCGCCCGCTTCCGCGCACGCACCATGACCGCCCGCGCCGCTCGCTTCGTGGCCACCCCCGGCGTGCGAGCTTCTCTGCGCCCCGCAACACACGACCACAGCGCACGCGTGAACATACCCAAGTGCGTACGATACGTGACTGCGTTATACATTTAAGTTGTTAGCTTTACTTGTTACGGCATAAACTACTATCATTGGTCAATTCCTGTGTTTGATCCGTTGTTTAGTTAATTCATCCCACTAATCTTGATTATATACGGTGCCACGTATAAACTCCGCTGGACTGGACTAGTGTAGATGTCGTCGATGTCGTAGTGTAGACGTCTGTATGTGTGTGTGTGATTGATTTGTTTTTATACAAATTATTATTGAAAATATTTTTTTTGTACGATTTAAGATTTATGTAAGTAGTTGTTAAGGGTTTACACCTGCGCCCTATTCGGAGCGGACGCAATAACGCGTATCAACGGCATGCGTGTCAACGCGCACGTATAACTGTGCATGTTATCGCGCTTCTTTTATACTAATGATTGTAGAATTAATAATAGTGTAATATCTGTGATTAATTCGTCTTTAAAGTTTTCACACCACTCGGGGTTTAGAACATATAATAATGACGTACTTTATGTCACGCATGTCGTGTTGGATTCGTTTGTTGCGTCCGACCTAAAAGTAGTCCGGAATCTGTCAGCAATGCGTAACTGACTTGTGACACTAACACATGACAACCTACGTGTGCTAAATCACAAATAATATATATAAGATGTATTAGATAAAAAATAATTACTATCCATCTTCTTTGTGAGGTCCATTTTTCACCATAATCATTTACTACAGTATAATTATTTTAATATATCTATGCCAATAATCTTAACCACTCATACATAAATTAATAAAAAATTCACAATGAAAAGCTAACTTAAATTTTATTAATTATTTTCAATAAAAACTACTTAAACAAATTTTATAAAATATGTAATGCAAATTTAATCTTATAATAACAGAGGATGGAGTTTATAATATAAAATATGCATTGCAATGTGAGTAAAAGGCGATGCGGTATGCAATATTATTATTATATTGTGTATATTTATGTCGAATATTGTTTTTATAATTAAATCTATATGATTTTGGATTACTTTATACTTTAATATATAGTTTATATTCATGATATCAATGCAATGAACAAGTTTTGAAATTTTTACGTAATTATTTGCTATCAGTCCTCATAGTTCAGTTGAATTGTAGCAATGTTACATTTGTGTGAAAGCATATGTATAAGTTGTTTATGACGAGTATGAAACATCAATATAATAAGGTAATTTTTGATTCCAGTATATGTAAAATATAAAGGAAAAAAAATCATAGCATAAAATAAAAATTGTGAAGTGACAGTGTGTTTAGAGATATTGGATTGCCTTAGCTGATTGCCTTTTGGAGATAGTCCAAAAAAGTAATGTAACTTATTTGTCAAGTGTTCCTAAGCCGTTTTAGTAAAAGGAATGTTGATAGATCAAAGTATTATTGTAAAAATATAGTAAAATGTGGTAACTAATTTTAATAAGTATGTAAATAAAATCTTATTATATAATATATAATGAAATAGTAATATATAATATTTATAATAAAATATACTCCTACGGATAAAGAATGGGATTAGAAATGGCGGCTCATCGGGCCTGTACTTCCGGCGTACACGATACCTAAAGACAGTACGAAAACAGAGCTTGTAATATTGACTTATATATTACTAGCGTAAGGACCGGGCCTACCGATCAACTGAAACGGACCAGTGCGCTGGCCCTAAAATTACAGTTTAAGCCCAACGGATTGAATCGGTCGACGGTGGTGCGCGCGCAGGATAGATTTGCCTGTCATAAATATGTCTAGTTGCGTGATAAAGGAATGCAAAACTTACGATACAAAAATTAAAAAAAAAAAAACAAGGGATATCGTATCATCGGTAAATAACCTTATATTAATTTTATTACAATTAAATTATTGTATAAATAATTTTGTTTTACGAGTTTAGTTACGTTACCAAGATTAGGCCAGGGTTGGATTCAGACCCTCAAAAATATTGTACATGGAAAATAAAATTATACTATTTTAAAAAAATTATATCACGTTTGACGTTTCATGTTTCTTTTTTCCCATGTGATCGAGCATAGATTGACCAGAAAGGGAGCTAATTCTAATTTTATTAAAAAAACGCGGTACTCATGTACAATACAGAAATTCTCGATATCGTAGGGTTAATATTAAAATGTAAAAGGACCCAATAATAATACAAGTCGACCTTTAGGTAAAATTATGGTATTTTCGCTTAGTGTTATTACGATACTATATACCAACTATGAAATAATGGTACAATTAAGATGATTATACTTCGAAATCCGACCCTGGTTACGTCGTGTTTTGATATGACGTTTGTATTATAACAGAACCGCTACTTTTCTTGTATGAAAAAGTTGGGAGTAAAATACAAGGATGCTAAACCGTGTAAACACCGTTATCCTTGAAACCAGTGGTCTGGTTTCACTTATAGAACGTAAATTCAATGAAAAATAACTCAATTTTCCTTAATTCCTCAATTTTTGCCTGTTCTAAGCCAGGATGAAAGTATGAAGGAAAAGTTACATCACAGGTTATATGTACCTATTGTTTTTTTATTGGAATCTGGTAGGTAGCTCGGGGCTGTGATCTTTACAGTGATTACGTCACTCGGGCGCATAGGGTATCCATGAATTTACGAACGGTGTCGGACACTCTTTTTAAATTTTATGAAAGAAAATAGGGTTTTTTTTTAAATTCGGATAAATATTTTTATATTAAAGCCTATGGTTTTAGTGACAACGGTGTTTACACTTACACCTTGTATTTAGATGGGCCTATCCTTCCTTTTGAAATCATTGGCTTGTAACCTTATTACTACATAAAACAATAATATCACTTAAAATAAAAGTATATTGAACAGCAACTGAGCAGTTTTACTTTAAAAGAAATTTTAGGAATTTGCTTACAAAAATAAAAAAAAAACAACATAATATAAACTTGACAAATGGTTACTAAAAAGGTACCCAACTCAGCATAGTTTTGGTACTACAAAGTACTTCGACGCTGATCTTCCATGGGTGACGGTTTTGCTTTACGGGCATGAAGTTAAAAGCAGAAAAAACTGTTTTTTTTTTGGTTGTTCGGGTGTAGTCGGGAGTATCGACAGCGACAATGTGCAAGGAGAGGTGAATAAAGCGACGCGTTATATAATTCCATTGTTTAACTGCGCGAGTAGTAGGTTCATATTTTTTCACATTCGATCCTAGAGTGCATTGTTTTTTAGTATTATCAACTTTAATTATTTTTCCGTCTTACAAACCATGGCTTATTAATAGTAGCGGGATTAAAGACGGATCTTTACCACGAAACAAATAGCCGCGGAACTACGGTATTCGTGAAATTTGGCATTTGCTTTGATTAAAACTACTTTTGCGGATTACATCGCGTTTTATTTATTTTATGTTTTACTTCCCGACGCTTCGAGTGATTTCCAGCACCCATGGTCACGGGGGACTGAGGTGAGTCACCTTATAAAATATAATAAAACGCAATAAAATCCGTAAAAGTAGTTTAAATCAATGTATAGTGTTCGCGTAAATATTTAAGAAATCATTGGCATTTGCTGTCAAATTACGTAATTTACATTTTTATTTTGCATATTTGCCACGGGACTTAATTTAAAACAGACTAGTTTAAAGTTTCAACCTCAATGATAAACGACTTTATGTAATAAGGCGATTTGAGCTTTGCATAAACTTGATTAAAAGACATTTTATATTTATTTTGTGTTTGATGTTTTTATATAACGAAGGTTTATTTACAATTTTCCTTTGCTCAAATTATTTTTTGTCTAAATATAGGCAGGTAATACAATGTTTAAATTAAGGCTTTTAATAATATTCTAACTTAATGTTAGAATTGTTGTTTATTTTGAACAATTTAGAGTTGTCATCAAAACAGATTGTTTTTATTTGGGTTTGTTACGCTAATTAAATTTTAGTTTAAGAAAATAATGTATAACAAAGTTTTATTTATCGCATTATAAAAAAATACTAAATTTTTAAATTTACTTTTGTATTTGTGATGCTCTTAGCTATAAGTTTAACAGTAATTATACAAAATATTATTTACATACGGAAAACTTAAAAGAAAAGGAAAAATATTATATTCTACCATCAAAGATATGGTAAAAATAAAGGTATACTATTTTACGTCTTTGTACTACATAAATGAGTGGATATTACTGTCAAAATTTTACTAACTGTCAACAAATGTCAATGTTGGTGTTACGAACAGTTCCCATTTTTTCAGGGAACGGGTGGTAACGTAAGTTATTGGTGCTGTTTAAAGCTACGTTTGGATTTTTATGTAAAATAGTGAATCAGGTGTACTATAGATTTCATGTAAAAGTAAGCGTGCCTTGGGTCTGCATCGGAGCGTACGCAATATATTGTTTCTTTGTATTAATATTCGTTCACTAGCATCGACAATTCTGTGATTAGCATCGGAGTTTTGAAGAAAATTTAACATTGACTTCATGAGTGAACGCGCCAACCAGGTAATATCTACTTGAGACTGGCTATAAAAAGTAAAAATAAAAAATTTGTATATTTTGCATATTTATCAATGTGTAGCCTCCTCCTTGGTAGACATCCGCTAAGATGGCAGATTAAGATTAAAGACCTTTTAGAGACTTAGAACGAACTTTTAAATTTTTACATGAAATATTTGGAAATCTAAAAGTTATTACAATTTTTTTGTGTCTCAGTATTATTAAAGTGATGCTGAAAAAAAACCAGTCGTATTGGTAGTACTTACATGGCAAATGCAGACGTTCTTAACGCTGCGTATGCCCCGACCCTACCCAGTGCAACACTTACCTTTAGGGACAAACAGCCTGAAGTGAATCTCACATGAAACAATTTATGCGCATGAGCACGTGAGGGACCATGCATATATAATTTGTTATAT